TTTGTCTTTAAATCTGGTAAAACTGAAGAAACTCTCACTTTTCTCACTTTTAGAACATGCTTTTTCTACCTACAATCAGTGAATAAACCAAACAAAACAAAAAACGAAAAATAAAAATAAAAAACATAAGCACACTACAAACTTAAAGCAAAAGCAAAGTCAAACTCAAAATAAGTTAAGTAAAGCTTTATTTTTCATTTTGTTTTTTTGAAAATTTATTTAAAGACAATATTGCATTAAAGGATTGTAAGAAATCCATAACCTGAAGTAACATTAACCACTTTAATTTTAACATAAAACTGGTTCTAGCCCATTACTATTAACCAAAATGTAACTTCTTAGTGTGAAAGATGCTATAGATTTCTTTACCTTTGGGTTTAATATTTTCCTATTTCAGTTTTTAGTCAAAGAATGTTAAGTTTATAATTTATTTGTGATACTCCAACATAAAAATGATTTTAACCCATTTTAACCATGTAGTTGCTTCTAAGTCTGTATGTCATACGTAAACAGACCTCTTTACCTTGGGCGTAACGTTTTCCCATTTCAGACCATGTGTCATTCCATAAATTATCATTTCTTTGTTTAATGKTTGTGCATGAGAAGACACATGAATATGGTACAACACAAGCTTAAAATCTTATTCTCAAGAGAATGATACATGGTCTGGATATGGTTAAAACTTTAGCCTGGGGGCATAAAGAGATCTAATTGGAATGCACAGTCAGGTGGACGTGTTATGGCAAGATATTTTTTGTACRAATTAATAACTTATTTATCATTATTATAGTATAAATAAAATACAAAATGGATTTTATTTGTGCRAATCATACCTCTAATGGTCCATTAGACAAGCTGTTTTGGGCTAATCGTCGTTTTCTCTCCTATCACACAAAAAGAAATTTATGAACACAAAAATGTACTTAAATTAATAGTTTATACATCAAAAGCAATGCCTCTGATGCCCTGGTGACTGATTAACGGCCATTGTCAGTGGACCAAAGTCCTGTCACGTGACCTGACAAACTTGCGACTAACAGTTTCTAAAGAAACAATCACCTGACAGCMAACARCTGGATRATAAACAGCTGTTAATTGGCCRACAGTTAAAGAYGACAAAGRGYTGCCRMCARKWKG